TTCGACCACGTGGTAGTTGCCATAGAAGAGTCGAAAGATCTGTCAGTGTTGACGAAGGAAGAGCTTCAAGGGACTCTTGAGTCTCATGAACAGAGGATGGCTGAGAGAGCTGCAGGAAAGTCGAAAGATATGGCTTTACAGGCACAGACGGAAAAGGAGAGAAAAGGCAAAGGTAGCTGGAATGGCAACAAAGGAGGAAACCAATCGAATAAAAAGAAACCTTGGAACCAAGGCAACCAAATAGGTGGTGCTGCAGGTAAAGGAAGAGGTGGTGATCGAAAGACAGACAAAAGCCACATTCAATGTTTCAATTGCCAAAAGTATGGTCATTATGTTAATGATTGTCCAGAAAAGAAGAGAAATCAAGAGACTGATGCAAAGCTGACGAAACATGAAGAAGAAGAAACGTTGCTAATGGTCACAACAAACGATGAAGAAAGATTCCAAGACCAGTGGTACTTGGACTCAGGATGCTCATCACACATGACTGGAAGGAAAGATTGGTTTGTCAACATGAAGCCCTCGTCGAAGAATACGATGAAGTTTGCAAATGACAACACTCTAGCAGCTGAAGGTGTTGGTGATGTTCTGATTATGAGGAAAGATGGCAAAAGGTCAACAATTTCCAATGTGTTGTACATACCAGGCATGAAGAGTAATTTGCTCAGTATAGGGCAGCTTGTCGAAAAGAACTACAAGGTAGTTGTCGAAGACAAGATGATGAGAGTCCTCGAAGCAGGTGGTAGAATAATCTTAAAGGCTCCAATGTCTCAGAATAGGACCTTCAAGATTGGACTCAATGTGATGGAGCACAAGTGTTTAGCAACTACAACCACTAAAGTCGAAATAGAAGTTCGACAGGAACCAGTTGCAAATGAAGCAGGTTCAAGCAGACCTTGACGAACTAGACACATGCCTGCAAGGTTGCAAGAATGTGTAATCACATCAGATGATGTAGTCAATGAAGAGGGTGAGCTGGTATGTTATGCTTTCTACGCAGATGTCAAACCAATCAATGCAGCTGAGGCATTGAAAGATTCGAAGTGGGTGAAAGCAATGATTGAAGAGTTAGAGTCCATCAAAGTCAATGATACCTGGTCACTTGTCGAATTGCCGCAAGGCAAGAAGGCAATTGATATGAAGTGGGTTTACAAGGTAAAGGTAAATCCTAAAGGAGAAGTAACTCGACACAAAGCGAGACTTGTGGCGAAAGGATTTCTTTAGAAGGAAGGAATCGACTTCGATGAAGTATTCGCACCTGTTGCTAGAATCGAAACAATTAGGTTGGTTGTTGGTCTAGCAAATATGAACAACTCGCACACATGTCAGATGGACGTGAAGTGTGCATTCCTTAATGGCCCCTTAGAAGAAGAAGTTTATGTTGCACAACCAGCTGGGTTTGTGAAACAAGGCGAAGAAAGAAAGGTGTACATGCTTCATAAAGCCCTGTATGGACTTAAGCAAGCTCCAAGAGCTTGGAATAAGAAAATTGACAGCTTCTTAAGGGAGAAGGAACTTGTGAAGTGTACAATTGAGCATGGAGTATATGTAAGAAGAAGCAATGGAGAATTGCTTATACTATGTCTCTATGTTGATGATTTGTTGATAACAGGGAGTTCCAAGAAGGAGATCGAAGATTTCAAACATGACCTGAGTAAGGATTTTGAAATGTCAGACTTGGGAAATCTCTCATATTTCCTTGGCATCGAATGCTACAAGACAAGTAGAGGTTTGATGATGAATCAAAGAAGATATGCAGGCGAAATACTCAAGAGATTTGAGATGCAAGATTGCAACCAACCTTCGACTCCAGCTGAGCCCAGATTGCAACTGTCGAAGGATTCAAATGAAGATGATGTCGACCCAACCCAATACAGAAGACTTATTGGGTCACTCAGATACCTTTGCCACACAAGGCCTGACTTAGCATACAGTGTTGGTATGATAAGTAGATTCATGCAGAAACCAAAGGTATCACACCTAGCAGCGGCGAAGAGGATACTGAGGTATCTGAAAGGAACTCTCGACTATGGCATTTTGTTTCCAGCAACTGATGAAGGAAAAGAATACAAGTTAGTGGGATACACAGACTCCAGTTGGTGTAGTGATGCTGAGGATCGAAAATTCACAGCTGGATATGTGTTTATGTTAGGTGGTGCACCAGTTGCTTGGAATTCGAGAAAGGAACCAGTGGTGGCATTATCATCATGCGAAGCAGAATATATAGCTGCTTCCCTTTGTGCATGTCAAGCAACTTGGATGGTGAACTTGGTCGAAGAAATCACAGGGAAGAACCATGGAGCAATTACCATGAAGATAGACAGCATGTCAGCTATCAACTTGGCAAAGAATCCAATAGCTCATGGTCGAAGCAAGCACATCGAAATGAGGTTCCATTATCTCCGAGAGCGGGTAGCAGAAGGGAAGATGAAGTTGGAACACTGCAGAACTGAGAATCAGATTGCATATATCATGACAAAGGGAGTGCAGGTCGAAGCCTTCAGAAGACTAAGGGCCATGATGAATGTAGACAGTTTAGACACAATGAATTAGGTGGTGTGTTAAATATAATTCATTGTGATTTGATATGATTAGATTTGATATCATATGATTAGATTTGATATCATATGATTAATTTGATATGATATGATTAGATATCATATGATTAGATTTGATATCATATGATTAGATTTGATTTAGAATATTTTGGGCCTTTTATGTTTTGGGCTAGTGTAAACCTAAAACTATAAATAGGGTGCCTTGCTTTGTATTCTACATCACAACAGAACAGATTTCACAGTTGCAGTTAGCAAGTGAAAGTTCAATAAGAAATCCCACAGTTGTGGGTAACACATTCTCTCCAAATACTTCTTCTCTCATTCTTCTCTTTCTTGTTTGTTATTCTTTTTCTCTTTTGTTGTTCTTGATAATTACTTGTTATTACCATCATTATCATATTGTGGGTTTGTTCATCAATCTTGAGATCAAGATTGAAGGGAATTCTTCATAGGGTGTGAGGTGAATTTCCAACAAATTTGATCGCGAGAGATTCTATTTTATGGTTGCTGAAAACATTTATCAACGCGATGACCGACCATTAGGTACTTTTAGCGTTGATCTCAGGAGAGGGTGGTGCGATTGTGGGAGGTTTCAAGCATTTCATTTACCTTGCTCCCATGTAATCGCAACATGTGCCAGTATACGACAGGACCACAACATGCACATACCAGATGTTTTCAAGATTCTGAGTGTATTCAAAGTTTACAAGGAAAGCTTCCTTGGACTTCCACACCACCAAAATTGACCAACATACAAAGGATTCACTCTTTGCCATGACGAGACAATGCGAAGGAATAAGAAATGGCGTCCAAATAGTACAAGAATTAGAACCGAAATGAACGATCTTGAGAAGGAAAATAGAAGATGTGGAATATGTCGAGAAATTGACCATATACGTAAAAAATGTTCGAATGTAGCAGACCCGTCAAATCGCCTCGTCTAAATTACTTTATTTGTTTTCTAAATTATTTTTAAAAGTATTTTTTGAATTGTAATGTCTATTATATTAGTAATTAATATTTTAAATTCTTTTTTAATATTTAATTAATAATGTCTATTATATTATATTATATAAATTTTTATATTTTAAATCATATAAAATAATAATAAAAATATAAAATTATAATAAATATTTTATTTATATTAAAAAAAAACCTTTAAAATCGATCAATGATTGACCGAGTCTCTAAAGTAAATTATGTTTCTCGTAGAGTTCTCCAATAGAAAGACGGATCCTTTCTCCCATTTAGTATATTGGTCAACTTTTTCAACTTGTGGCATATATGCTTTTGATTTTTTGTAACATATTGATTAAAAAAAAACGTGTCTACAACAAAGCAAAAGATGCTAGCGTTGACCGGAAATATTGAATATGTCCTTTAAGAACAATTAAAGGTAGAAGACAATAAAGTACCTTTTTCTGATGCGATAGTATAATAATATATATTTTAAAGATAGCGAGAGGTTAACCATGATTCTCTCATTAGAAAACTTATCGAATACACTTTTCCTCCAACAAGCAGACGCGGGACCTTGGGATATAAAAGGGAATATGTCAATTATTTCCACAAAAAATCATAGTGGAAATGTGCATAATTGAAAGTCCTTCACATAATAGCACATGAAAGCAAAGTGGATGCTTTTACCGACATGCGTGTCTATTTATATGCTGATATGCAGTAGTCGAATAAGATGAATTTTTAGGCAACAAATATTTCCTTTCCTTTTGTTTTCGTACTCAGGATAAGGATGACTTTAGTCTAGTCTTGAGACTAAAATAGACACGGCCTGGTATGTATCTGCGCTGGGAAGCAAAAGAATATTTCTACGAAGGCATAGCCAAATGGTGGCACAAAATATATGTCTCATTTTCCCAATTTTTTTAACAACGATTTTAAGTCCGCATTTTTTTTTAGTATATCCACATCGCTCGGGTTTTTGTGGAATTACGCGTTGATTTTGGGTGTTATTTGTTGGAGTAACAAATTTTGATGGGACGCAAATAATGTTAAGGTGACGTGACACGTTGCTTATTTTGTTTTTGGATTTATCTCTACTTTTTTCGTTTGATTGTAACACACTGTACTTTAGTTTATTTATGGCACATGTTGTGTCTAGAATTTAGGTAGAGTTTCAATAAGTATTTAACTCTATTAGGAAAAAAATCATTTGTGTTACTGTAAAAATATATTTGATTTGATTAAAGAATAGTCTTAAAATAAAAAAATTAAATAATCTCATCATAAAAATTTACTGTCATAAATAAATAATTCCTGTTGTCCGTTTTAAACTGCACTTGAACTCGATAGAAACAAAAAGGGTTCAGCGGTTTCGGCTTCCTCTCGTCATGCTACCCCAAAATATCAACCTTCCCGCTCGGATATAAACACAAACACTTGGCCTACACAACTCACGTCGTTTCCCATTCCCCAAATCACAAAATGAAGTACGTTTTGATCACCGGAGGAGTAGTAAGCGGCCTCGGCAAAGGCGTCACCGCCAGCAGCATCGGCGTCGTGCTTAAGGCCTGTGGCCTTCGCGTCACTTCCATCAAAATCGGTTCTCACTCCTTCTCTAACTACCTTTTCTCTTTTTAAGCAACTCAATTCATCGTAACATTCACTTCTTCCGAAAACTTTTTGCGCAGATCCGTATTTGAACATAGACGCTGGCACCATGTCTCCCTTTGAGCATGGAGAGGTTTTTGTTCTTGATGATGGCGGAGAGGTTTTGTATTTTTTTCCTTATATAGATACGTACTTTTACAAGCTTCAATTTGAATTAGTTATAGTTGTAGAAGTGTTTAATTTGTTTTTTATTTTACTTTTTGGCTTTTGACTTTTGAAGGTTGATTTGGATTTGGGAAATTATGAGCGTTTCCTTGATGTCACGCTTACAAAGGATAACAACATCACTACTGGGAAAATATATCAGGTGCATGCTTGTTTCATTTCTGTCATGGAACTAATTTAATACTACATTTTATGCTGATTTTTAGCTAACTGTTGTTTTTGGTTTCTTGTGATTATTGTTATTAGTCTGTTCTTGAGAAGGAGCGTAAAGGGGATTATCTTGGGAAAACTGTTCAGGTAATACACCATAAGTGTGCGTGTGTACGAGCATGCGATGTATATTTACTTGTTGATTGATTGTTGGATACTTCGTGTGGATTATAAAGAGCAGGTTGCTGACATTGTTGGCGTTTTGTTGAAATAGGTGGTTCCACATATCACTGATGCCATCAGAAATTGGATTGAGTCGGTTGCTTTGATCCCAGTTGATGGAAATGAAGGCCCTGCTGATGTCTGTGTGATTGAGCTTGGAGGCACTGTGGGTAAGATTTTGCATAACCAGTTATGCTTCTGTTGAAAGCTGCTTTATCCTTTTTGCACAACTATGAGGGAGAATAATAATGTTTTTGCTTATCTACAGGTGATATTGAATCTATGCCGTTTATTGAGGCTCTGCGGCAATTGTCCTTTCAAGTGGGTATGACAAAGTATATTTTGCTTTTACACTAACTTTACTTACTAGTATTTGCTAAAACAATTTTTTGTTTTTATAAATAATCAACATGGTATAGGATAGTTATTAATTGATGCTCTTTGCAATATGCTCCTAAACTAAAGGTGAAAGTACTTTGTCCAACAATTAACAAGTTTTGTAGATTTTATTGGTTTTTTATTGCTCAGTACATGATATGATCCAAGTACTCAAGTAAGTATGAGTTTGTTTGTGCGTGGTGGTATTGATACAAATTTTATTTAAGGTCAATCTAGACTTCTAAAGTTGGTAGAATTGTCTCTAGATGAATTAACTAGTCTTACTAAAAGTGTTTTTATGGATGTTGAGAATGCTGGTGATGAAATTGGTACAAGTACAACTATTATTAGTAGTCAATTGAATGCCAGTGATATAGTTTTATACTAATAAAGGAATACCATCTTATCATTTTACAATTTTTACATTTTCATATAGCCATGGAATGTCATCTTATCTCGATAAATAACATTTTACTCTCATTATTCCTTCTCAGGGCCTGACAACTTCTGTCTCATCCATGTTAGCCTGATACCAGTGCTGGGTGTAGTGGGGGAGCAAGTACTACTTCATTACCTGTGCATTACAGCTTCAGACTTTTAGATATTTTTCTCTCATGTTTAGTGCAATATTTTTCTTCCAGAAAACAAAGCCTACACAACATAGTGTCAGGGAACTGAGAGCATTGGGCTTGACCCCTCATCTTTTAGCAAGTCGCTCTGCTGAGGTATTACATTGCACCAGTTGGTGTCTAGATTCATTTAGAATTGTTAAAATGTGCAACAGTGGTTGCTCCAAAGTCTTAAGGTTGTAATACTGCATAAAAAGTTTGCTTAGTTACACGTTCTTTGCATGCACATCATCCTGCTCTTTTCTTTTTAGCCATGTGAATATTGATGTCGAGTGTCGACCACAGTTACAAAACTTAGGCTCCACTTTTAGCAACAAACATAATCATCATTATTTTGCATCTGGTAATCTAGAAATGTTTTCTGCATTTTTCATCCCAAGTCTATGTGACTTTCGAGTTGGTTAATCTATTACTCAATAGATGAAAAAACTTCAATGACATATCCTTTTCAGATCGACATCTAATGTGGCCCTTTTGAAGGTCTGAAAATGCATATGAACACACACGGGCAAACTTCTAATCTTTGTTTTTAAAATTGTTACTTGTGAAACAATTTAGAAGTTGGTCAGTAGATAATATATTTCTTTGCTTGGTTGATTATACTAGCACTAATGCATTGAATTGAATCCTATTAAAACACTGCAGTGAACTTTAGTATGGGTAATGCTAGAGTGAATGCTAGGATGAGTACTGTCATAAGACCAGGTACTGTGTCTGTTGGAGGGAATCTGGACTCTTGGTAGATCATAAACAGATTGTTATTGTTAGATCAAGGGTTGAAACTCAGTGCTATTGCAAAAGTTACTTATGTGTTTATGTGGATTTGACAACTTATGTGACACTGATTTTGCTCTTGCTTCTCCTTTGAGATTATGGTCTGAGAATCAAGTGGCTCCATTTTATAGGATTATTGCCTCAATAATTGTACATTTAGGAGAATACAGTGGTTAATTGAATTCATCTGCTTATGTTAATATTTATTCCTATGAAGTTAACTTGTTGTCATAGAACAGCCGCTACAGCAGCTATAATCCCTCAGTGGCGCTGTGCCGCGCCCAGATGCGTTGTTCCAAATTGGTGTAGTGGCTGCTATAATGGGGAGGGAAGCAGGAGCGTTTAATGGTGGAAGCAGGAGAGTTTAATGGTGGAGGCTGAGTGGAGCGGCTGCTACAGCCCATAACTGCCCAAAAATAAATATGCCCTACGTTAATTTTAGACTCGTTAAAGGGTTTACTTGGGGTTTTTCGATCTAAAAGAAAAACCCAAATCTTTCTCTTCTTCTCTACAATATGATTCATCTCTTCTCCTACTATTCTCCACGTCTCTGTTTCTTTTTTTTTTTTGTTGACAATCTGTTTCTGTTTCATACACTTTCATCTTCTCCCCTATTTTGTTTCTTTTCCTTTTCCTTCTGTTTCTGTTTTTCTTCTTCTTGACTTCTTTGTATTGGGGAGGATGAAGAGGACTACGAATCTAGTAGTGGAGGAAGTGACGAGAAGAGTTAGATTTTCATGGTGCTTAAACTTTTATTTGAGTCTTAATGTGTAGTTACTTTAACTTGTTTGTTTCCTTGCGTTTTGTTGGTATTCAAGTATATTTTTCCAAGACTTGTGGCTTTTATTTCTAATTATGGATATTTCATGAATTTTGATTAATTTATTTCATTTTCCCAGCAAATATGTGTTTATTAATATCAACTGTATAATAATTCCTAAACGTATCAAATAGTGTCTGCTCCACGTTTCTGCTCTGTGATCCGAGATTGATAACTATATTTTCAGCGTTTCTTAAATATTTTCTTCTGTTTGGACAGTTGTGTCTTTGATGTTAGTTTGGCTATATTGGTAGCTAAAATACTGCTATTCATTGTGCAGCCTCTGCTGGATAGCACCAAGGAAAAACTCTCACAGTTCTGCCATGTTCCAGTAAGTTTTCAGTGAATTAAGTTTGTGTTTTTCCAAGGCAAGCTTTGATTTATTAGTTATTGATCTGTATTTTATGTATATCTTTTTTACAGATTAACAATATTCTGAATATCCATGATGTACCAAATATTTGGCATATTCCCCTGTTACTTAGAGTGAGTCTCTAAATAAATTTTAGTGCCATTGAATCTTGGCAACTTGTATTTTGTGCAATTGTTTTCCTCTTAATGTCTGGTGGTTTCTATTTTCAGAATCAAAATGCCCACCATTCAATTTTACAGCAGTTTAACTTACTTAGGTGAGTTTTTGATTTGTCTTTTATTTACATAACTGGCTAAAGCTATGCAGTATCATCATATGTATAAATTCTGTAACTGGTTGAAGCTTGATGTCAGATAAAATCCCACATAAATTCTGTAGTACTCTAGATATATTGACTAAGAAAAGGATGGGTAAAAGAGATCTGAATCACATCCCTGGGCTGTCTTCTGGTTGAAAAAAAATATTTTTAAAACTTTGATCAATATTTTCTGTTACAGTTTTAAAGCTCTTTGTCTGTGATGGGCCCTAATAAAAAACTACAGTCCCTTCCATAAGTGTTACTACAGTATATCATTGCGGTGACTAAAAAACTGCTACAGTAATTCAAGCAGCGGCACACTCTTTCCAGCATCTCTTAATACACTATTGTTCATCATGCTCTACATATTGTCTTTTCCCTGTTTTGATTGATGAGAAATTTGAGATGTAGCCCAATAATAAAGAGTGCGTTGATTACATTCTCAACGGTAATGCAATAAATAACTGTAGCATTTATCTTCCAACTGTCTCTTGTGTCCCCTCAACTTGAGGTGATCTTATAATTGTCCACTTATGAATACTGTAGCACTTGTCTTTTGGTTAGTGGGTTAATCTTGGAATTGTTCACTTATGAAATTATACTTTGAATGTCTTGAAAGTTTTTTCCGTTGTTATTTAAGTTTCTGAAAAGCTATAGTTCATATGTGGGAATTTCTTAATGATTCAAACTAACAATTAAAAGCTGAACAAAATCCAAACACATCATATGTTGATCATAATTGGGAAGGACGGATAAGTCGTTATTTGTTTTCCATTCTTTTGTTGAAAATTATACTGATAATCAGAAACATTAGTCAGTCTCACTTTTAAATTCCTTTTCAGCCGTGCTACGCCTCCTGATTTGCAGCAATGGACTGAGATGGCTGAGAGCTATGATAATCTTACTGAATCTGTTAGCACTATATATGCTGTTTACAATGCTATTTCTAAATATATTACAATATTTTATGCATGTGAATAAGAGCATTTTTAACTTTACAGGTTAGGATAGCGATGGTGGGAAAATATGTTGGTCTAACAGATTCATATTTATCCGTTGTAAAGGTGAGCTGATCTTTCCCTTGATATACATTCCAAGAATGGCAGATAACAGTATCTGTTATGGAAATATTGTTTCAAGATTAGTGCATTTACTATAAAGCTATCAACATTGTTTAGATAATAGCATTTCAATTTTTCTATAATTTTTTTCTTCTTTTTGTCTGATTTTTTCCATAAATTTATGTCATATTAACTAGCAATAATCTGAGTTTCACATTTTTGCTGTATTCTTAAAACTGTTATCAGTTATTTATTGGTTTATGCATTCTTTATTTTTATATAATTTTAAGTGTACATATATTTGGATTTTAGAATTGTTTTATTTATTTATTTGACAACAGAGTTTTTGTTTGTTCTAATGTCATTGACGTATACTGAATAGTTTGATTTTTTTAATGCCTCGTTTTTTAAAGGCCCTGCTGCATGCTTGCGTTGCACGCTCAGTGAAACCATCAATTGACTGGATTGCAGCTTCCGACCTTGAAGATGACAGTGCACAATCTGTAATGGTTTCTTTCAAATTGCATTTGAAGAAATTCAGTTGCTTCTCATTATGCAGGTAGTCAGGCATATCTCATTTTATTTTGTGGTTTTACTCTTTCAGACACCAGAAGCACATGCTGCAGCATGGAAGACTCTGAGGGTAAGTGCACTAGAAGCACATACAGTTTATGGAAATTTAGTCTATTCTATCTAGGAAGTGTAGTGGAAAATGTTGAGCCCCTTGACTTTTAGTTATGCGATCCCTCTAAATGCTAGACGATTTTCAGTTGAGAAATAGAAAAAACTATATATTTTCTCCATGCATTTAATATCTATGATGGAACAGCTGACTTTCTGTGATGAAATAGAATTTCTTAGAATTTAGATTGGGGCTAAACTCTACCCCAAAAAACTGACTTGTAAACATTATTCAGTTCGTATCACTATTTAACGTGGAACTCTCATTAGTTAACACACACGCTTTACGCCCAAGATTGACCATCTAGAGTGTGATTTGATTGGCCTAATAATGAGTGGCCTTATGGATCTTGGATAAACTCATATCAAATTAAAATTTTGCCGAGCTTGCTCAATCCCTCAAAATTGGCCTGTAAATACTACTATCCAATGTGGGACTCTCCACATGATTAATACAATACAAAGAAGAATGTTCTGCTTTTGAACATGTAATCACAACCATTTTTTGAGGGAATTCTTACCTGCAGAGTGCAGCTTGTGTCTTGGTTCCCGGAGGATTTGGAGATCGTGGTGTGAGGGGCATGATGCTAGCTGCCAAATATGCCAGAGAGAACAACGTTCCTTACCTGGGGATTTGCTTGGGAATGCAAATTTCTGTAATTGAGTTTGCTAAATCAGTAAGTAATTTTCTGTTTATTTGGTATTTGGTTTTTTCTGACTGCATTCTTTTCTTAGTAATTCAACTTTCATTCTTAGGTTTTGGGTTGGGAAAGAGCGAACAGTGTAGAGTTTGATGCCCAAACACCGAATCCTGTTGTAATTTTCATGCCAGAGGTAGGTATACATGTCTTCCCCCACCCCATTTTCCAATTCATTTCCTTGTTGTAATGTCTGCTAGTCAAAAACAGGGTTCAAGGACGCATATGGGAAGTACCATGAGACTTGGATCTCGAAGAACACTCTTACATACACGAGATTGTATCACTTCCAAACTGTATGTGATGTATCTATCTCACTGTAGTATTTTTAACGATAAATGAATGATGAGCATGTTAAAAATCTCTTTCACGGCATACGTCATCTCTCTTTTCCATTAGATAACTTTTTTCTGGCAGTATCTGCATATATGAAATCTAAGGCCCCTCGTTCCTTGGTCTGTCGTTCTGAAAGACACATGTCAATAATGACATTGCACCTGATTTATATCTGTCAGATAATCCATTTTGATGATGCTATGTTTTATTCTATCATCTCTCTTGTGGTGTCTACACATCTTAAAATATTATCAAATTCTCATTTTCATTTTCAGTTGCTAAACCATTAGTTGTGGATGGGAATGATATGTCTGGTTGGTTGGTGACCAAGTGCTCAATTATCATCAGAGAATGGTTTGATTAAAATGAATATCTGGACTGATTAAATATGTTCTTTTGTGATATTACATTTCAAATGTGATTGTGATTCAATTCTGCCTTCACTGTAGACGAGGTTTCAAGGGAAGGGTAGGGGTGGGCTGGATGGCTCAATTCTTGAATTCATTGATTCTGTGTGCTGCATTATACTGTTCAGTTGTTATAAGACTCCAATATGTAGCTGCTTTTAATTAGATTATGTTCTCAGCACTCAATTTGTGCATGTTAATATCTTTGTATGTTCCTAATTGCCAGGTACGGAAGTTCCGAGTATGTGGATGAACGGCATCGTCATAGATATGAGGTGTGGTTATTAACCTTCTTTTTTGGTTACTGTGTGTTCTAGAAACAGGTGTAGAGTAGTCTTCTAATTTTGCATTTGCATTGTTCAGGTAAATCCAGATGTCATTGAAACTTTAGAAGAAGCTGGGCTAAAATTTGTCGGCAAGGATGAAAGTGGAAAACGAATGGAGGTATTTTTTCTTCTTGGATAGGGTTTGGATGTTAAACAATATTGACTAGAACTGTTGACTACCTGGCAGTTTCAATTCCACATGGTAGTATTTGTTATCCTGCACTTGTGTTTCTATATTTTATTGTTACACATAAATCACTTCCTTTATTGCTTACCTGGCAGTTTCAATTACAATGGGAGTATTTGTTATCCTGAATTTGCGTTTCTATATTCTATATTTTACTGTTACACATAATTCATTTCCTTTACTGCTTGTTTTTCTCATTTTCTACATGGAGAACGGAACTGTTTTCTTGATTTTAAAAAATGCTCTCTTGTGTGCAGATCTTAGAGCATCCAAGTCACCCATTCTATGTTGGCGTGCAGTTTCATCCTGAATTCAAATCTCGGCCTGGGAGACCATCTGCCTTGTTTTTAGGTACACTTCTCACATATGAATTAGCATTTCATATTTCATATCTCATGAGAGACCATCTGCTTTATTTTTAGTTTCTTTTCAGTTTTCACTTGTGAATTATTCTCAGTTTCAAAATTTCCGTTTCAAATAATCATTTATCATCATTCATCCCTGTTTTGATTATGTCTACTCTATTAAATATTATGATGCTGTACCTTGATTGTAGGTCTCATATTGGCGGCAACAGGAAAGTTGGAAGAACATATCATAAGTATTCATGAGAATGGAAGCTGATGTACGATTCTTTACTATAGGACTCATTCCTACATTACTTTTCTAAGTTAAATTGGTTCTCTCGGAAAATAATTGGGAGGGCAAGAGAAAGGGAAGTAGGAACTGAAGGAGGAATGGGAAACCCTGAAGTGGAGTATGTGTGCAGCTGCCTCATGCTTCCCTAGGTTGGTTCTCATTCATATCAGTTGCAAAGGAATATTACTTGCATCTTGTCCATTTAGTTCATCACCATAAGTGTCTTTAGATTAATAATTTTTAATATTAAATTAACTTAATTATAGAGCATATGCTGAAAGGTTGCAAATACTGGTACATCTGCTGCCGTGATGAAATGAAAATATTCACTGCATTTAGTGTTGTAACTTTGTTGAGCTAAGGAGATCTCTGCTTTCCTTGGGTTGATAGATTCATCACTTCTTGGCCACACTTAGCGAAATAGTATGGCCAGACCTTTTCCCGTAATTGTATAGCTTGCTGTAGAAGTAATTGCAGAAAATGAAAGTATTGATGATTGTTTGATGTGCATAGAGAGTAGAGCTAATTTCCTTGTCTACACTATAAGGAAGTTACTTTTTATTTCAAAGCCGACTATTACGTGTTTATATATTAATACAGTTTAAGATTGTTTCTCTATTCAGTTTATCATGCCCTAAATGTACGTGCTCTTTTTCTATCTATGTTTGCTAATTAGATTTAAAATTTTCTTGTTAAAAATTTGTAAGTAGAATTAAGAGGTGATACATGTGTATTTGATATTTTATTTTCGGCATAATTAGTCACGAAATCCTCTAACATAATTTACTGTTTCACTTTAGTCTTTTATCTAAAAAAATATTACAAGTTAGTCCTTTAAAACTGTTATGTTAGACAAGTTGGTTCTTAAATTTTGTAAAAAAACGTTAGTTGTGCACATGGCATGACAGCGTGTCAAAAGTTAATATAGCGAGTCAACAGTTTTATTAAGGGATTAAATTGAAACGTTATAATTATTTAAGGAACAAAATATGAAAGTTAATGGTAGTGCATTTGTAACAATTTCATAGTATTTTGGATTAATAAAATCTTTGATATCAAAATAATTTTAAATTTAATGACATTAAATCATAATCTTGTTCCATTATTTGATTTAAACAAAAAGTATGATTTTATATATAAATAAACATAATTCTATATTTTGATTCTAAATGGTGAATTAATCTTTTCTCAAATATAACTTCATTACTTTCTAAAAAGCTCATATGTCAATCTTTATCAAATTTGAATGAACCTCATTCCTTTAGAAAACATTGTACCAATAGTATCAGGATTTACAAGAATTGGCATGAATTTTAAGAGGATTCTGGTTTAAAAAAGCAGTTGTTAGATTATTTATTTATAATAAAAGACAATATAGAAGTAAATTTCTTACAAATCTAATCCTGACAGTTATGATACAATTTAGATCCTAGTGTGAATGTTGATGCATCTTTCCCACTAAGATTATGTTACATTTATGAGCCTGTTACGAGTTATAACTATTCTATTGTCTATGTATAAATTCAGGCTTGTAGGTAAAAGTGAGTTATAACTATTCTATTGTCTATGTATAAATCCAGGTAAAAGTGATTGACAATGTTAACCTCCTAAATTATGCAAAAATGTTCTACCCAACTTATGTTCTACCCAACTAACCCTCCGGCAGCATAAACTAGACATTGAACTCCACTTTCCCATTAGATTCAATTGTGAATATTAGAAATAGAGTTCTGGAATTAGAATATCTAATATAGTTAATAAAATGCCAGCACTCATATCCTATTTTTTGAGACCTCCTAAAATTTATGCAAGTTATTTTACAAAAGCTTTTGGTAAACCAAATTAATCATCTAACACAAGATACTCTTTTACAATGAATGGTTGAAGCAAATTTGCAATTGGGTTAGAAATCCATTCATGGCCTGCCGCATCATCATTCTGGAAAAGAAATTCCTAATTTTAGTTTCAGTTACTAAACGGAGAAGAAGGTGAATTTTATAAAGACTGACTCACCGGAACAAATAATTCATTTGTGAAAATAAATTATCTTTTTCTTTTTCATCTTTCTCGTGGTGTTGTTCATCACTGTTGGAGAAGTCAAGGAGGTCGTCAATAGAGAAATCTTCACCGTCAATCATCGTTTTCGAGTTAAAGCTAAAAAGTTCCTCGTCGAGCGTTTGTAAAATAAACAGTTTAAAACTTTGTGAATAGTATAACAACCATCTGCTACAAAGTTAGAGATCAAAACAACAGTGAACTTTGTGTTGCTTTGCTTACCAATAATTTAGTGGTTTCTTCTTCTATTAAAACACGAAACTTCTTTTCATGAGATCTAAGAGCCTTTTACGTTTGTCGTTGAAAGGCAGCAATTGTTGGATTAAATACAACATGTGGTTCAATGGAGCAATGAAATGAAATTAGGGTTAAAATGTTTCAGATGTTTAATAACAAATAATAATAAATTGAAAATAAACAAAATAGAAAGTCAGGTAAGATAATATATTGTTGAAAATGTAATTCTTTGTGTCGAAACAAGTGTAGCTCGATGGAAACAAGGATGTATCGAAATTAGCCTAGTGTGTGTGTCGAGTTGTGTTAGATGTCGAAGTGTCGAATCAGATTGCTCGACATAGGATTTTGACTTGGATCAAAATAGAAATTTTGGACTTTTGTAATTTTGGGCTTTACCTTAAGGAGCAAGGTAGCTCAATTATAAATAGAGGGAATAACTCTTATTCTTGTAATAACTTGAATTCACAGAATTTTGCAGTTGCAAAGTGAATAAGAAAATTTCCACAGTTTGTGGGTAGAGAGAAACTCTGTAGAAAATCACCTTCTTCTCCAATTTTCGTCAAACCATAACTTTCTTATTTAATTTTCTTTCTTCTTCCATTAACAATTGCTGCACAGAGTCATTCTTGCAATCAAGGTGTGATTGTTTCACTTGAGTGAATATTGAAGAACAAGGGATTTTGATCGGTTGATTGAATCTTGTTTATTAAGATTGATTCATAATTCTCAAAGTTTTGAGTTAATTCCAACATCTGGTATTTAAAGCTTCGGTTGTGATTCGTGGGAAAAAAATCACGATGGCGATGAATAATCCGAATGGACATTTTCTGGCAAGTCTTCCAATTCTGAAGGGTCAGAATTATGAAAATTGATGCAAGCAGATGAAAGTGGTTTTCTCTTATCAAGATCTTTAGGATCTTGTGAAGGAAGGAGTAACACCGCTTGTAGGAAATGCGTCGGATCAAGAAAAGACTGCATACAAAGAATTGAAGAAGAAATATTATAAAGCTCTATTTGTAATTCATCAATGTGTTGATCCGGACAATTTAAAAAAGGTTAGTGATGTAGAATCAACAAAAGAAGCATGGAAAATCTTGGAGAAATTGTTCAGAGGCGCAAAGAAGGTGAAAGAGGTGAGCTTATAAACTCACAAAAGGACGTACGAATTGTTTCAGATGGAAGAAAGTGAAAACATAATTGATTTTTTCACTAGGGTTACAAAGCTGGTGAATCAAAACAAGGTATGCGAAGAAATGTTGACATCAATATCAGTTGTTACAAAGATCTTGAAGTCATTGGCTCCAAAGTTCGACCACGTGGTAGTAGCCATAGAAGAGTCGAAAGATTTATTAACACTGACAAAGGAAGATCTTCAAGGGACTCGTAAATCTCATGAACAAACGATGATTGAAAGAGTTGCAAGAAATTCAAATAGTGATACGGCTTTGCAGGCGCAATCAACAAAAGAAAAGAAAGGCAAAGAAAGTTAGAATGATAATAAAGGCAGAGGAGGCTACAACCACTCGATTGGTCGAAGCAAGAAGGAAACTGGTCGAATCAGAGAAAACCCTAAAACCAAGGCAACCAAAGAGATATTTCTGAAGGTAGAGGAAGAGGCGGTGGTCGAAAACTTGACAAAAGTCACATTCATTGTTACAATTGTCAGAAGTATGGTCACTATTTTAGCGATTGTCCTGAAAAGCAGACGAATCAAGAAACTGATGCAAAACTGTCGAAACATGAAGAAGAAGAGATGTTAATAATGACCACAACAAGAGATGAAGAAATATTTTAGGACCAATGGTACTTGGACTCAGGATGCTCATCACACATAACTGGTAGGAAAGATTGGTTTGTCAATATAAAGCCCTCATTGAAGAACATGGTGAAATTTGCAAATGACAATCTTTAGCAATCGAAGGTATTAATGATGTTCTGATTATGAGGAAAGATGGCAAGAGGTCAGTAATTTCCAATGTATTGTGTAACACCCCGTTCCCGAAAATAAAATAAAACAATTAAATAAACAATCATCAGAGTTTCCACACCAAAAACGAGATGTCACATTTCCACCAAAATTCCACAAGACATTTCTTAAAAATGATTTTCAACAAAATTGCAGCGGAAAATGAATCTGTCATATATATATATATATATATATATATATATATATATATATATATATATATATATATATATATATATATATATATATATATATATATATATATATATATATATATATATATATATATATATATATATATATATATATATATATATATATATATATATATATATATATATATATATATATATATATATATATATATATATATATATATATATATATATATATATATATATATATATATATACACGACATCATCCTATACATCAAGTTGGCCATCTGCCCAAAGTACACAAAATATCATCATCGAATCCCAACAAAACAAGATACGCCACAGGGGCACACAAAATCATTAAATAGACACAAATACTCCCAAAAGCTCCGGTGTTACGTGTCAGAGCATCCCTACGACTCACCACAATCCAAGCTAGCTAAGCACCTGGATTGTCTGTACTTCCGAAGAAGCACATACCACAACAACAACAAGGGGTGAGAAATCACGATCAAATATAATGATAATAATGTACATGAAATAAAAGGCAGAAACATATAAACATCATTT